AACATTGTGTTCCTTTACCTCACAAAATTATTTAACTGCATTTTCAACTCCATAATATTCTAAATAATTTGTTTCAATTCCGTACATATGCACAAAAGTATCACATCTAAAAAATTTACCTTTGTCATTGGCTAAATCCCTAATGAAGGTTACACCACTGATTGGTCAATGTTTTTTAAAGATTGGACTATTTCCTAGTTGTATCCTTCTATAAAACCATATATCTTGACCAGGTTCCATTTTCTTTTTGGACAAGTATGTTGCCGAAGCTTCCAAAACATCCTTCCATAGTAAATTCATGGTATTTGGAGTAATACCTACATCAACATAGGATGCATATGCCAACCATAATCCTTCTCTATTTGGAATACAGCAAGAAACTAAATCAGTCCATTTTGAGTGATTACCATTTAATCTTCTGATCCATGAAAGTTTTTGTGCTACAATCACATCCTTTATAATTGGCATGTTAATTCCGCCATGTTTTGGGGGTTAAGACATTATTTGTCTTTTCACTTTATCCGGTTTTCGCTTCCATACAAATTAAAAACATCTTTTCTGAAAAGTATCTATCACATCTTTTGGAAGGTTGGGTATCAAGGAAAAAACATGATTCAATTTTGACAATCAGAGGCTTTTTAGGACTACATTTCTACCTATTGGAGTCAAATTTCTTACCGTCCATGGGTTTTTATTTCTCTCTCAATTTTTTTCAAGGTTTATTTTATATTATCCTCCACAATATTATCAAAATCAACATAAAAGTTTATTCCTAATAGTTTAAACTTTGTATTAGACCAGTCTAGATGCCAATCCTAACATAGTTTATATCTTGGTTCTCTTTTTTGAACCAATCAAAATTAATTTAGTTTTCTCCGCATTAACCTTAAGACCAGAAAATCGAGCAAAAAACTGTATTGTGCGCAATACAGCATAAAGGTCTTTTTCTGTCCGTCCAAACTTAGTGATATGTGTCACCTGCAAATTGTGACAGCAAGTGTTCAAGTTTTCCTATCTTAATTCCTTTTATTTTAGGATGACTTCTTGTCATAATTGCCAAAATTTCTGCACAAATCATAAAAATATATGGCGACACTGGGTCACCTTGATGACAGCCTTGTTACAACCCTTAATGTAAAAATTAGTCTTAGTGTAAAAATATTTTACATTAAGGGTTGCGGGTTCACCCTTGTTACAATGCTTAATGTAAAAAATACCCTTAATGTAAAACTTTTTACATTAAGGGTTGAAGTGATAGATATATTTTTTTTTACATTAAGGGTTATCACTATGAAATAATATTTATTGAACTTTCATGAAACTTCGCAGATTTAATTGATCGTTACTTTGTCAAATGACCAATCATTTTTAGATCCCCTCTCTACAACGACCACCTGGTTGTTATATTCAGGCTTCATAAAAGGGTTCATGACCCCTAACCCCTTAAACCAATTTTTATAAAGCTTACTGTTTTACAAAGGTTAGTTTTCGATACTCTGCAAGGTAACCTCGTTACTATCCTAATACCGTAACGACGGAAAGGAGGACTCGGCCAAAGCAGATCAGACCAAGTTGTAGATGATGATGGGTTGCTAGAATGATCCATTAACAGAGTTTTAGGCATAAAATAATGGACATTTTGTTGCAGTATCACGGATATGACAGTTAAGCATGCACCAGGATCATATGCTTTTACAAACGAAAGGAATTGCAATGCAATGATGTTTGGTTAAAAAACCCTGTAGGTTTCCCAAGTACAGTTGCCAAGTCAAATATAGCCACTTAAAGTTTAAATTTTCCGGATATGAAGTCTATACCTTTTCTATAGCAGTTTAGCATATCCTGTAGTAAGACCATTGTTGATTGAAAAAGAACATAAGGCATACGGCCTGTAGAGTATTTCATGTCAGTTAGGAACTGACCATTCGATCTCCTGTGGGAGCTGACTTAAGCTCACAACGGAACTTCGTATCAAGTGAGTGAGCTGTAAATGCTATCTTTCGACATATGTTAGGTATAAATCGTATTGTGCATAGATTTCGCATGACGGATGACGCACGCCGTACAAAGACGGATAGCAATTTGTCAAATGAGCCTTTAGGACATATCTTACAATGCGACAATGCAACAATTGGCCAAAATGTCGCGTTGTCACATTGTTGCAATGTGGCGCTTTGGCTAATTTTGACACTCTTTGCTTGGTTTTGCAAGGGTGACAATGCAACAAGGAGACAGTGTCCCTTCAAGTATTCCATATACAACCGCAACATATTATAACATTTTTTAGGGTAAACGAGATTCCTGCATATTATAAAGAGACAGCCAATATTTAACACATTTCAAAACAGCGAGCGACTGAATAGAACATCTGCCAGACTCGGCTCTATGTCACTGAACCCAAAATTTCAGCCCCGTATAAAAGTATTGGTGTTACCTTTGTATCCAAACATTTGAAGTAAAAGTGAGGCGAGTATGGTTTCAAGGAATTTATACGAATTAACAGGACCATGAACACCTTTCTTGCCTGAATTGCAATATTATTAAAGCATTCGACCTCAGTAATCCCTTGCTAAAATTGTTGTTGACAGTATTGCCATACAAAATATTGCAAATAGAAGTACAAAAATATAAATAAATTCTGATTGTAACTCAACACCAAAATGACAATTTTGTTCCATTTCAGTAACCAATTCGTTTATTAAAAACAACTGAAACAAAAAGTGACAAAGCATACACCCTTGCCTCACACCCATGAAGCAGCAAATATACCAGATACTCTGTTGTAAGTCTTTACATTACTGTACATTGATTGTAACATTTTACCCATTTTAGCACTCAAACCATTTTTGTACAATGGCTTCCATAGATGTTGTCAAGGCCAGCTGATTTATTATGTTTCTTGGCACTGATGCTTTCAAAAAGTTTGGATCTGGTGATTGGAGATTCTAATATGTCAATTGTCAGTTCTTGCACATAACCTTGACATGTCACTATGTCATCCACCTCACCAAGATTATCCTGAATACCCATTGGTTCAGAATTCAGTGACGAGAAATAGTCCCCCCCAGTCTTATATATCAATAGGGTTTTGTCGTTATCTGTATTCTTGCAAACTTTGTTATACTTCAAAAGGTAGGAGTTATCTTTAGATTCTTCTGAACGCATTTAAATAATGGCACTGTTCATGTTTTTTTAGAGAGACAATCATCATCATCAGGGAACATGTCACTCGATGCTTAACAATAATCTATCACACTACACCCAAAATGTCCAATAGGGGCCACGGGTGGCCCAGTCGTCTAAGGAGCAGCGATTCGCTGTGCAGAATTGCATCCCTTGGGCACGCCAGAAACCTATGATTGTAGGTTGGAATCCCGGTTCGCCCCGGATATGTTCCTAGGTTTGTCAGCACCATACACGTACTCGTGCATCATTTCGGGCTTTCCTCCCACAATAAGCTGACACACCATGATATAACTGGAATACTGTTAAAAGCGGAGTTAAACCCAACTCACTCACTCACTCACTAAATGCCTAATAAATGTACAGTCACCAATTCGATAGTCAGTTCCAAATCTTCCATTCACAATATATTGTAACCTTAGGTTCCGGGTACTCTACCCTTCTACCTATGGTCACTTCTACTTATCAACTACTCCTTGGTTCTAGGGATGATGTAGCTCTCTTGAAAATCAGCCTCTTTTTATTTATGATAGAATTAATCATAAATATGTACACATGGTCCTCAGATTAGTTCTTGTTGTTGCCTGATATAAATACAACACATACCTAGATGATGGTTGAAGAGCCTGATGGTTTTTCTGATGAACGTTACCTGTACTTCTTTTCTGACTCGGGATCCCAAAACCACAGTGAACCTTTCTGTTCAGCTGTCTCCTCCCGACTCCCCGCACCACTCTCGGACAACTCCCTAAATACTATCCATGATAATTTTTGCTCCTCACCCCGAAATAGTATTTGACGTCATGTGAAAATGAGTCCTAACGCTCACCTCCATATGAACCCCAATTTCCGTTCCAATCAGTTCTTCTATCAAGCCCTTCTAAACCAAACCTTCAGCTAATTTCCTAACTCATTGGTCAACCGATAAACTCTTAATAACATACTCATAATTCAACCTCTTTATGACAAAAATCCAACACTCTGTCAGACTGGAAAGCGTCTTAAAGATGCTTAATCATGTTAATCAGACATTCCAATCAAGCAGTAGTAGTGAGAAATATTCGATCATTTCAAGACTGACAGTTTGTTCCATCCATTCATTTCCCCTCTGATACTTATATTGCAAGACCAGATTCTGCTAATTTCATTGTACTAATGAAAATGTTATCTCTATCACTCAATTTAGTAAAACTACATTTAAGTAAATATAAAAACCCTTTTCCAAAATACCCTGGTTATACATGCCCTTCCCGTTGTAGAGCATGTCCCATGCGATTGACCAATGATAATAAAATATAAGATGTAAATACCATAGGACAATATCACTATGTAACAATATGTGTGTGTATGTATCTGAGGACCAGATAAATCAATACAATAAAATTTTACAAAGTAATGTCTCAGATAGGATCTGTCTTGGGTTGTACCTATCTGAGAATAACATCTGAAGCTTATTAAGATATAATCAAATTATCATTCTATGTAAAGGTTTCAGGTTTACAAAAAGAAATTTATTTTTTTTCTTCGGTAGATGCAGATAATCAGATTGGTAATAATAAAACATCTTCTCAACGCTTAAACTTCATGTATATATATATATAGACATATGAGCATTTTTTTCTTCAGGCACAAAAAAAATCACAACACCAACTAACAACTTATCATCAATTCATAAGTACACACATTTGTATACCATATATTCATGTATACAACATCTATAATATAATCAACATCTGGTATAATCAACATCTTTGAATACAATATAACATCAACATTTGTACAAGAGGACACTAGTATGTCTGAGATCACTTAGATTTCTAAAACTGTGACATTTCAATGTTCTCTGGTCTCTGCGGAACTGACGGATAAATTAATCTTACATCGCTAACAGCAGCTGTTTGAGTAGCGGTGGTGCAAGGTAGTGGAGCAGAAGGTCTACCCGATTCGTTAACAACTATGGGATATTGTACGTTCCCATGTATCAGAGAAACACTTGCTATGTATTCCTCATCCATCATTCTGGTCAGTCTACCTGCCTTAACCCATGATAGAGATACCTTCCTGGGTAGCTCTATACGTTCATTAGTGATGGTATTTACCAAACTCGGTTTGTTAGAGCCCCATGACAAAATCATGTCAAATTTCACCAATCGTCTTGTAATGGAGATTGATTGTGGAATCATGTTTGTTCCCAAGCTTCTAATATATAATGGGCTAACTGGAATCGTGGCCAAGGTAACGTGAGTACATTTAGTTCTGGAAGCCAGTTCTATTTCCAAATAAGTCTTAGAATTTCTCATTCTTTTCATGATAATATACACTGCTATGGCAAAGATAACCAAAACTCCTGCATAGAATAGAATATTGATATCAAACATTGCTTTGATATTCGCCAGGTTATTATCGGTTGAAGCCTTTGTGGGGGATGGAGTTGGTGGAAGCCATCTAAAACGCCTATCTGAGTTTCGGTTCAGAACTGAAGCTGAAGCTTTCTCAAGATGACAAGCCAAAATTAGTACACTTAGCCTTCTTGACAGAATTCCCATGTAGACAGTTAAAAGTATGAGTCCAAAGAAGCATCCATAAAGCATATATGATGTTCCTGATAGCCATTGAGTCCCTCCTACTGGAGTCCAGTTATTCATAAAAATAGGATCGGTTGGGTGAGTGTAAATTATTTTATTTTGTTTTGCGAGTTTCACAGCTCTACGAAGACTAATTCTTATCTTTTTATCATCACCCATTATTTTTGAAAAGGTATGGTTAGCCACTTGAAATTCTGGAATATCATAGCTAGCAGGTTCATCCGTTAGGAAATTTTCCACTTCTGCTCTGAGATCATCTGCCGAAAAGTAGTGTCTCAGTAGCCCTACATTCAGAGGATATTTGAAATTAGTTTTTGTGGTTGCTTCATGACATCCTGTCAGTCTAGGTGGTATTGTCATTCCATCTCCATCCACTCTACAGTTGCACAACAATGGTATAACGCACAAACTACAGCCTTTCATCGTCTTGGTCTTATCTTCACAAGAGTAGACAATTTTGGAAATTCCAGATAACAACAGGTCGCCAGAATTCAGTTCAAACATGAAATGACCTGCACCATTTGGAACAAGTCCAATTTCACAAACTTCATGAACCAAGTCAATATCATTAAAGAACAAAGCCAAATTGCATGAAGGATTTTGAAATGATCTTTGAGCTGGTAGATTGTGGCATTTTATAAGCATTTGATTTTGAGTGCAAAGTTCATATTGATCACTTGTGAATTCCAAAAACGTCTCATCAACTGTAGAAATGGCAATATATGGTATGGTCTCACCAACCACTGTGGCATCACCAGAAGTGTGATTTAGGGGAACTGGGAATAACTTAACTTGATAAAGTTGTGTTTCTCTATCTTTTGATGTTACTGGTAACATCATAGTGACATAAACAGTACTGTCATGTCTTACATAATGTACCTTGGTAGCTGTGTAATAATATGGCAAATCCTTATGAGCCAGATGGAAATTTGGATATTTATCCTTCAATGCTCTCCTTATTTTTGATAGAGCACGCCTTAAATGTCGGAAAGGTATCAGTTCGGGTGATAGTACATTTTCTAACAACTTATATAATCCTGTGCTCAACCGATTAATCTTCCTTTCAACCATAGTAGCAAAATGTAACTCCTTTGCAATAAGTTGTATCCAATGTGCATACATGGCCTGAAACCATCGTATCTTACCATCCTCTACATTTATCAGTTCAGTCAGTTCATTATGATTTGCAATTATACCTTGCTTCAAACCGTCCATTCTATCGTTGGCCTTAGACATGTAAGAACCCATGTAATCTTGTGACATGTTAAAAGCTGCTTCTTCCGCTCTCATTCTATGTGATAAGATATTGATATGTTGTCGTATTATGTTCACGTCGCTGTCACGGGCGGTTCCGAATAAATTATGTGAGAATTCACCAATAAAAGGTAGCAATGCTCTCTTGGAGCGAGTCTGAGAACCAGGAATTGGACCTTGAGGAATAATGTTTTTGATCAAAGTGACCCCTTCAACCAAGTCGTTTAAAGTGTCGTCATGTATGCGATAAGTAAAATTCAATACAGCCCTCATGTTCTCATCACAAGATGAGCGATTTCTTAGAAGACTAGCATTCTTGCAAATATCTCGAGGCAGAGTCGGATAGTTAGAGATCTTGGGCAATTCAATAGCAAACGTATGATACCACGTCTGCTCATACGTTAAGAGTCTCCCCATGTGACTGAAGGTAGTACCCCAGTGAAGACGATAGATATCTGGAACGCATGACGCCAATGGTACCGAGTTCCACATCACCAGTAGTGTCATCATCACCTTAAGTGCGAAGCCGAAGGGTCCTGTAGAACACAAATATCCAAGTAAACTCTCAGATTTCTAGATCTGATCTCAGTCGTTGTTTTTATTCTATCCCTATGAAACCATAGCGTTCCTATTTGTAAAACAATATCCAACAATCCCAATTGATCGTCATCAATGTACCATACAACATATTAACTTCCCATAAATAATGTTTACCAACATTAAGGAAACCGCAGAACACAGCGCTATGCTCATACAGTCTCAATTCATGTGTCAACAATATGTTGTACTTGTGGGTCAGTTGAATATCGATAGAGCTAAAGGCCTTGTCATGTAACTACCTTAAATTCTAGCGTCAATTAAGTCCCTTTAATTAGCAGTCGTATTTTCTTTCTAACTCACATGGTTGAATCCTTGTCAACCGTCTTTGCGCAATACTGTATCATTTGTCTGAATCATTCACAACACATCTCTTCTCCTCAACAGGAGGTACACAATAGCCTTCTGACTAGGCAAAACTTTCTGAACATATTACCGGTATGATTGGCCAATCATCTACACACCACGACCGATTTATAGGTCTTCACCCAGGCTACGAGACAAATCGACCCTCTGTCCTTCGTCCTGAAGTGAATTCGTCGTTAGTCTTTCGACTGTCCTCAATATACTCAGCAACTTGAGGTAGAAACATATCTACCTCACCACTAGAGACTTGTCAGGCATCTCTAGACTTGATCTTTCAAGCTTTGAAACAGCATAGGCATTTCCTCATCTATGTGTTTATATTCAAATAACGTAGGCATAAATTATGTGAGAATTCACCAATAAAAGGTAGCAATGCTCTCTTGGAGCGAGTCTGAGAACCAGGAATTGGACCTTGAGGAATAATGTTTTTGATCAAAGTGACCCCTTCAACCAAGTCGTTTAAAGTGTCGTCATGTATGCGATAAGTAAAATTCAATACAGCCCTCATGTTCTCATCACAAGATGAGCGATTTCTTAGAAGACTAGCATTCTTGCAAATATCTCGAGGCAGAGTCGGATAGTTAGAGATCTTGGGCAATTCAATAGCAAACGTATGATACCACGTCTGCTCATACGTTAAGAGTCTCCCCATGTGACTGAAGGTAGTACCCCAGTGAAGACGATAGATATCTGGAACGCATGACGCCAATGGTACCGAGTTCCACATCACCAGTAGTGTCATCATCACCTTAAGTGCGAAGCCGAAGGGTCCTGTAGAACACAAATATCCAAGTAAACTCTCAGATTTCTAGATCTGATCTCAGTCGTTGTTTTTATTCTATCCCTATGAAACCATAGCGTTCCTATTTGTAAAACAATATCCAACAATCCCAATTGATCGTCATCAATGTACCATACAACATATTAACTTCCCATAAATAATGTTTACCAACATTAAGGAAACCGCAGAACACAGCGCTATGCTCATACAGTCTCAATTCATGTGTCAACAATATGTTGTACTTGTGGGTCAGTTGAATATCGATAGAGCTAAAGGCCTTGTCATGTAACTACCTTAAATTCTAGCGTCAATTAAGTCCCTTTAATTAGCAGTCGTATTTTCTTTCTAACTCACATGGTTGAATCCTTGTCAACCGTCTTTGCGCAATACTGTATCATTTGTCTGAATCATTCACAACACATCTCTTCTCCTCAACAGGAGGTACACAATAGCCTTCTGACTAGGCAAAACTTTCTGAACATATTACCGGTATGATTGGCCAATCATCTACACACCACGACCGATTTATAGGTCTTCACCCAGGCTACGAGACAAATCGACCCTCTGTCCTTCGTCCTGAAGTGAATTCGTCGTTAGTCTTTCGACTGTCCTCAATATACTCAGCAACTTGAGGTAGAAACATATCTACCTCACCACTAGAGACTTGTCAGGCATCTCTAGACTTGATCTTTCAAGCTTTGAAACAGCATAGGCATTTCCTCATCTATGTGTTTATATTCAAATAACGTAGGCATGTCTCCTCTACGTCCCTGTCGACATTATTACTACGTGGGCATGTCTCCTCCACGGCTTGACAGCGTAGGCATGTGACCTCTACGACTTACTATCATTTCATATCTGCGTAGGCATGTTACCTCTACGACCTTGTTCATCATCTCATATCTGCGTAGGCATGTTACCTCTACGACCTTGTTCATCATCTCATATCTGTGTAGGCATGTTACCTCTACATCTTTTATTTTATTTGATGCATCTCTCAATACAGTGGGACTACAAATTACTTATTGTATAAACTACTGTCCATTACTGTGTGTTAACAACCTAACACTCCATAATACGTAACTGAACACATGTCTGCTACTTCCATCATCTTCAAACCTATTGTTTACTTTTGTGTTTCCGCTTCGCCTTACCTTTCATTGTCCTCCTGATGTGGAAGTCCTCCACAACCTCTGATGGGAGAAATTCTCTTAGAACCCATTCTCTTTTTGAGATTCCGGCATATCGGACCTTATACCATTTACCTCGGCGGTCCGACATACATTTCTCTAAGGCTTCGATCTGCCTGTCCTCCATTTCAGGAGGAGTCTCCATCTCAGCAGTGGCGTCTTCGTTTGCCGCGCCTGCCGTTTCATGTGCATCAGTATCCCCTTCGTCTGATGTCAACTCATCAGCTGATGAAGGACATGCCTCCTGTTCTGACACAACAACCTCATTGTCAGGTATCATGTCAGGATCTAGTTCCTCATCGTCAGATAAGTCTAACGGTATTGCCAAAGGGCGAGCGTCTGGACTGATATACGGTTTCAGTCTATTTGCATGAATGGGTGATCTGATCAGTTTGTCATCACCACATCTGCGTAACTGAAATGTGTGAGATGGATATTTCCATACCACATAAAATGGTCCTTGCCACGACTTGTAGAGTTTCCTACTAAACCCTATTGGCACTTTAGAACAGTAAAGCCATACCCTGTCTCCCACACGGTATGGAGGTTCAGCTGACTTCTTGTCAAACTGTTGTTTGTATGCTTCCTGAGCAATCTGTACATTCTCACGTGCAATCTCTCTGGTAATCTCGATATCACCAAGCAACTGCCTTAAGTCAGTACGTGTTTTTACTGAAAGACCTTGCGTGCGAGGCTCTAGTACATTGTCGATTGGTAACCTAGGTTCCCTGCCAAACACCATGAAGTATGGTGAGAAACCCGTCGAACTGACTGCAGGACTCATCCTGTAACCCGCTAGAATACTTGGTAACAGCTTCGGCCAGTTTTCCTGTGCCTTGTCACCATAGATCCTGAGTGATTGACCAATAACACTGTTCATGCGCTCAGCATGACTGTTTGTCTCCGGATGAAAGGGGCTGGTCTTCAGTCTACCTATGTCCAATAACCTGCATATTTCATTCAGCAGTTTGGAGGTAAACTCCATGCCTCTGTCAGTGAGTATACTCCGTGGGCAAGAATATCTGCTTATGATTTGATCATACAATACTCTCGCCACTTCAAAAGACTCCTTGCTTTTCAGTGGAAAGCATTCTGGCCATTTTGAAGCTGCATCAATGCAAAGCATGATGTATTTGAATCCGTCAGGGGATTCCTTCAATGGACCTACAAGGTCAACATGCCACCTCTGAAAAACATCTACCACCGGTAGAGGCTTCAAGGGTGCCGGTTTTGCGTGGATTTGTCTCTTTGCTGACTGACAATCCACACCAGTAGCAACCCAGGCACGTACTCTTTCATACATCCCATACCAGAAATATCTTTGTCTGATAAAGGCATAACATCTTTCTACACCCATGTGAGCTGCTAACAGGTCATCATGATAGGCATGTAGGATGGTGTCATACAATTGTTGAGGTACGGCCAGTTGTTTCACATAACGAAGTTCCTTAGGGCCTTTCCCCCTTGGAGCATAGAGATGATAGAGTATACCATCCTCCATCATAAAATCATCAGCCTCCAACAAGACTCGTCGTGCCTTCTCATCATCATCTGGCAACACATCTGATTCCAGATAATCAATGATGCGTTTGAACTTCTCATCAGCCAACTGTAGGCTGCGCAGTTTGTCTACTGTCAGACCAGTTTTCTCCTGGACATGGGTTATCACAGACACCTGAGACACTCCATTGACATATGCAGGTGAGTGTTTGTCATCATCAGACAGTGACAATATCCAATCCTCATCCTCTATATCATCATAATCATTAGCAGGTGAGGGTTCATATTCTCGCCGGCTCAAGGCATCTGCATTGCCATGCTTAGCACCTGGACGGTATATCACCTCATAGTCATACTGAGTAAGCATCAATGACCACCTTGCCAGTTTACCTGTAGGGTCTTTGATGCTCTTCAGGTATCTCAGAGCGGCATGATCCGTAATAACCTGAAACTTATTCGGAGCCAGATAGAGGTGGAAGTGCTTGACACCTGTGACCAATGCCAAACATTCCTTCAATGTGATGTGGTATTGTCTTTGTGTTTTGTTCAGGCTCTTGCCACCATAGGCTACCACTCTTTCTCTACCTTCAGAGTCTTTCTGGCCTAGGACAAATCCTATGGCAAAAGAGCTACTGTCTGTGTACAGAATGAAGGGTTTGTTGAAGTCAGGAAAAAACAGAATTGGAGATGATATAAGTGCCTGTTTCAAGGTCTGAAATGCCTTGTCAGCATCATCTGACCAAACAAATGGTACGTCCTTACCAAGTAATTTATTCAATGGAGCCACAATGTGGGCATAGTCCTTGACAAACTTTCTGTAGTAACCACACAACCCTAAGTAGCTTCTCAAGTCACCTACATTCTTAGGTCTGGGAAAAGACTTAACAGCCTCTATTTTACCTGGATCAGTCTTTATACCTTCTTTGGTAATGACATGTCCAAGGAATCCCACTTGTTTGACAGCAAATTTGCATTTAGAGGGCTTCAATTTCAAGTTAGCCTCCCTTAGCTTGTCAAACACTGCCTTCAGGTGTACCAAATGTTCGTCGAACGTCTTGCTATACACCAAAATGTCATCCAAGTACACTAACGTGAATTTGAACGACATAGACGAAAACAGGTTCGACATGAGAAATGCAAATGAGCTAGGTGCTGAAACCAAGCCCATGGGCATAACGAGCCACTTATAACTTTTACCTGACGGCACCGTGAAACTGGTGACGTCTTGACTGTCCTCGTCAACAGGTAACTGCCAAAAACCTTTGAACAAATCCAGGGAACTATATACCTGTGCGTGTTGACTACCTAACGAAGCTAAACTCTCGTCAATCACAGGTAGAGGCCAAATTTGAGGAACCGTCAATGCATTCACGCGGCGATAATCAATTACAAAGCGGTAGGTGCTATCAGCCTTCTTAACGAGCAAGCAAGGTGAGCTCCATTGAGAAAAGGTAGGTGTTATCATGTCATACTCAAGTAATTGATTTACCTGTCTATCAATCTCCTCCTTGGCCGCAGGTGAGCATGGGTATGCTCTTTGATATACTGGGCTGTGATCACCTGTATTGATTTTGTGTGAGAACAGGTGTGTTCTACCTATCTCTGACATATCTACTGCAAAGACGTCCCTATGGAGACCCAAGAATAATTCAAATTCCTTTTTCTGTTCATCAGTCATGTCAGCATCAGCTAAAGAGACCTTTAACTCCCTTGCCTTAGCCCTCAGATTCTCAGGTAAAGCACCTCTAAGCTCAGGTGTCACTACACCTATGATACCACCTATACTCATCCCGTCTGCCTCACCCTCTGTTACACCTGGGGTGCCTGACAACTCACCTGTATTCCCACCTGTGGCACCTAATGACTCACCTACATACTTACCTGTGGTACCTGATGACTCACCTATAGTCACACCTTTGGCACCTAATGACTCGCCTTCAGCGACATCCGTATGTAAGCAAACAACCTCATCAATTCGACCTGGCAAAACATCATTGCCAACTTCCAACCCACCTGATGAATTAATTCTCAACTCACCTGTGTGTACACCTGCCTGGTAACATCTACTATCATCCATGGACTCACCTGACACATCACCTGTCAAGTCTGTCCCATGTACACCTACCACACCTAACTCACTACCTATGGGATCATATCCAGGTAAGGTGTGAGTGAGCATGTCACTAGACAATCTCAAGTTGACACCTTCACCAGCATCAATATGCACTGAAGGGCTCTCAACAGGTGAGCATCCCTGTGACAACAAGTCACCCTGTGTACTGACATCTAAACAAGACTCAATGGTATCACCTGGTATACCTGTGTGTATATCAGAACCTATACATGTCATATCATCCTTGTCATCTACATGTGTAAAGATATCCTTGACACCTAACTCCTGAGTCCTGTCAATGTCAACATGGTTGAATGGTTTGTCACCTGTGGTATTATCAAAGGTATGAGTGGCATCCCCATTACCTAACTCCCCAAACACGTTGGCAACATCAACTTCTTCAATGACACCTATCGCTACTTGCGCAGGTAACTTAATCTCTGAGCTGGTAGGGTTCATCATCCTAAACAAAGCTATCTGATTGACAGGTGAGGTGAGACATCTAGCACCTAACACATGCAATGTTTCTGCAACAGACTCAATTGGCTCCACAATGCCCAACTTTATATCTGGGTCATGAACATATACAGGTAACAAGGTCTCGGTGTGAGGTGGTAGCACCACATCATGTATACATGTAACAATGTTGGAATTTTCTGAATAGGCAATGAACTTGGCCTCTGTAAGTCCATCCCACAAGGTCAACCTATTGCGGCTAACATCAATGTTAGCCTTCTGGCTTTTCAGAAAATCTAAGCCTAACAACAC